GCGCTGGCCCAAGAGGGTTGATATACTGGGTATATTGCAGAAGAGCGCAAGCGTAGAAGGATGACACTGGTCTACGGGGCCAACTCAATTCAGCCTGCAAGGCACGGGTGGCTTATCCCTGCTGCTGTCTGAAGAGGGGCGTCGACGTCAGAACAACTGAGACCAATTTCGGGTTTGGGCTTTGGGCCAACCCTAAACCCCTACTGCTACACCGACGTCCTTTCATGGCCTTGCCTTCGCGCTCGCAACTGGGACCACGACGCCTACACCCGCCAAAGCCTTCGATCAGGGAATCGTGCATGATTAAGATTGAGAGTGGCCTCAATGCAAGATCTAAGAGGTCTTGTTTTACGGCCTCCTGGGTCCAAAGAGCATGATATGTAAGACATTGGTCTATCTTGACACTTGACCCTTAGGGTGAGGTTTAGGATTGCAGAGATTCCGGGTTTGGGTTTAGTTCAGAGGTGCCGAGGCATGTCGTGAAGTTCGAAGCGGTAGGAAGCGTTTGCAAGAGTCAGCCGAGGAGCAATGCTAAAAGCTCTGGAGTTTAGGGCTTAGGGTTGTTTAGGGTATATTGTTTAAGGTTTAGAGATTGCGGCTGAGGGTTTATAAGGTTTAAGGTATGACCAACATTGCTTTATGTTCGATACCGCAGAATACAGGACTTCGCCGCCCTGCCCTACATTCCGCGACATTGGTAAGATCGAATGAAAGACTGCAGCCTCCTTTACAGGGATCCGAATGCCATCCTCACTTATTAAGAAACCTTGGGTCCTTCTTAGGGATCATTATGGATCCTAATATATTGGGGTTATAGGGCCAGGGTTTCTTAATCAGGTTCCTTCATTAGGGTCCCTTGTGCGCTGTAAAGGATATGGAGGTTTAAGGGTCGAGATCCTCCAGGGGCTATAGAGGTGGTCCCTGAAACCCTGCAGCCCCGTTTCCGGAACTCTTAACCACGGGGTCCTGGACTGAACCGATAACTTTGGAGCCTGCAGCCCTGTCTTGTCTCTGATGGGGTTGACAAGGGTTTGCGTGAAATTAAACCCCAAAGAACACTACTTGGCTGATTTCTGAGCCCCTCCTAAAAGATAGGCTTTTAGCCTCCTTATTATAGTTCATATAGAAACCCACAAAGTTAAAGTCCTAAGAGCCAACCAGAAGAATGCCAAGACCACAAGAACCTTTACAGAACCCTGAGTTCACCTTGCGGAAGTTCCTTGCGTTGTAATCTCTGCGCTCTTGCAACTGCTGCTGCTCTGCGAAGGACTGCAGCGTCTCCTTCGGAGCAAGTGTTCCCAAAGGGTCCTAAATGCCTATATGGTATAAACTAGGGTTTCTAGTTTAGGGATTACTATTATGATTTGGGGAAGTATCCCCCATAACAGTACCTAGGACTCTTTGGGATTTACGGGGACTCTTTGGGGTTTAGGGTATGCGGTTTAACCCTGGGTCTCTGGTTACCTAAATAGGAGGTTATGGTGTGACCTATACTACCTGGGTAGCTGGAGGCCTACTCCGGATGAGGGTTTAAGGCTTATAGGGTTCAACGCCTACAAGGTTTAGGGTTTGGGGTCATGCACCTGTGGGCTTCCAAAGTACCAAATTGCTGCGGACGTCGGTTTAGTATAGTTCTGTGGGCTACCATGTGGGAGGAGGATATGGTCACTAGGTAGTTGGATCCTTGGGGTATGAGGCTATCTACGTTTGTTTAACGATATCGGCATACCGGCAATGCTTTTGCTACCTCCCGTCTCATAGCAACTCTAAAAGCAGCCGACGAAACAAGCTAGCTTTCCTGAAGGCAACGTGACATTCATTGTGTCTCCTTTGTCTCAGGAGAGATGCATCCTACTGAAGAACTCCAATGTGGGAACTCGACAGGTGAATAGTTGGGATCTTGTACACCGAACGAATGCTGCCTCTGTGAGAGACTTTCAGAAGTTAAGGGACCCTGATCCCAAACCCCCAGAACCCTAAACCCTAAACCCTAAACCATACGAGCAGGACCGATACCATGACACGGGCCCCTACAAAGGAGCCCCTCGTTCCAAACATGCGCGAGATGAAGGCCTACACAGCGCCAAGCAAGTCCTCAGAAAAGAAACTGCTCAACCCCGTAGAAAAACTCCAGCGTTGAAAAGCACCAGAAGACGTGAACATCTATTTCGACACATAAACCAACGAACAAGAATAAACAAACATATATATATATATATGTATGTATATATATGTTATATATATATATATGTATATGTATATGTATGATTCTGAATATCTTAATTTTGAAGGCGGCTTAATTATTCAGTTAGGTAATCATGAAAGAGAGATAGAGAGAGGGAGAGAGAGAGAGAGAGAGAGAGAGAGGGAGGGAGAGAAAGAGAGGGACCTAAAGCAAGACCAAGCCACCAGGTGCTGACTGCTCAGCGGGTTTCCAGATCGGTAACGCCTCGACAGAAAGGCCCGCGTACTAAATACTAACCATGAAGAAAGAGCCTTATTTACAGAACCCTCAACTTAGGTTTAGGGGTTGAGGGGGGCCCTGTAAAACCCTCAACTCTTGAAAAAAAAACTGCTGTGCCCATCCAGATGGCAGGCCCACCCTGCGGCTTCTTACAGGAATTCTCGGATGAGAATCCGGAACCCTCAGCCGTAAATCCCGGCTGTACCCCGGAGCACTCCAAGTATCTTTGGGGTGAAAGCGCTTGGGGCTTATGGGGTTTACAGCAGAAGCCCAAAAGTTGGAAACCCAATAGCCTCAGTACTTAAGAGTAATGTATAGGGAATCCCAGCACTATTTGGCCTTAATCCGGTTTCCAACTTTATGGGGTTTACTGTAGGATGGTTTAGGGCTGATTGGGTTTATAGGGTTCCCAGAGGGTCCAAGTACTCCCGATAATAGGACTTCAGGGCCTTTGCGGGTAGCAAAAACCATAAATAAGGACTACTTGGACCCATAAGGGTTGATCGTTTAGGGCTTACGTGGGCTAAGGTTTAGGAAATATATGACTTAGGGCCTCTATATAGGGTTTAGGGATTACATAGGGTTTGGAACCCGAAAGCCTAATCCCTGAACCCAAACCCTAAACCCTAAACCCTAACCCTGAACCCAAACCCTAAACCCAACCCTAAACCCTAAACCCTCAACCCAAACCCTAAACCCAAACCCTGAAGGCCAGCGATCCCCGCCTGGATCTCAGAGACCAAGCCGAGCCTGAGTTGAACAATTCATCTACAGGGAACTCCAGAAAGTTGGAATCCTACAAGGTAATCCCAAAAGGGAACTACTATGGAGCCTATGGGTAAGGCTTGGGATTTATGGCTTAAGTTTGGGGGTCTATAAGGAAATCCAGAAAGTTGGAATATGGTTTCAGGGTAGGATACCTTATAATTAATTTACCATAGAAAGGTTATGATAATCATATTCCATCTTTCTGGCTTTTAGTCTAAAGTCTGGGGTGCGTGCTAGGGTTCAGGGGTTTAGAGTTTGTAGGGGTTTCGAGTCTAGGGGTTTAGAGTTTAGGGCGGTGTAGAGTTTAGGGGTTTAGGGTTTAGGGGTGCCGCCATCAAGTGTTGGTCGATCCCAACGACAAACTGCCAGACTGTAATCAAGAAAGCTACGGGCTTTCCAACAGAAATTACAACTGTCATGACTCCAAGAGAACCCCGTTTAAACCCATCAGGGCTGCAACTCAAATGTTTGATGCACTGGAATGCCAAACGCTGGCGAGGCACTGGCAACAGTTTCCGACGGGCTCGGTGGATGATCTGACGAAGAGCGCCAAAGCCGTTCAGCACTCCCGTGATGGATGCCAGCTGCCTTTGCCGTTTGCACTTTAAACTTGGGATTCCCTATCTAACCTTCACCCTTGTATTGTATTAAGCCCCCCCCCCCCCCCCCCGCCACGAAAACTGCCAACAACACGAAGACCCCCTACCAGGTAGCCCCGCCAAATTCCCCAAACATCCTGCAGACTTTCGTGCATAAACTAAAGCCCGAAACGATAAACCCAGAACCCTTACGGAAACCCTGAATACTATAGGGGCCTTAATAATTAGAATAGGGTTTTGGGAGTTCCTTATTATGATTATAGCATAATGGGCCACAAAACCCATCATGCAGAAGTCCGGACGAAATACATACGTATACATGTATGTATCTATGTGTATATATATATATATATGTATATATATATATATTCTTTCTTTCGGATGGCTTGTGTTCGGTGAACGCGCCACATGCACACAAATTCGGTGAGACGGAAATAAACTGGGACTCAGGAACCCGGAGAGCGGAGGCCCGAGGCGGTCTGTACAAAGCCCGCCCGCAGGAGCCAAGCGCCAGCAGGTTCAAGAGCCGCCAGTGCCACAGCAGAGGCACGGAGACGCACAGGGTGCGCCGCAGAGGTCTGAGCGAAGGTCCCCAAAATATCGCAACTGGTCTCAAGCCAGCGCATGAACTCCGACGCAGCGGCCAGAGGCAAGCTGCAAGTGAAGGGATACGCGTATCCCTGGAGCGGGGGATCGTCGATGCTGAAGGCGGCAACCTCCCCAGTCAGGACGAAAGGGAGCTGACACGCCGGCCTCCAGTCAAGCGCCTCGAAGACATCCACGCTTCCACCGTTGGCGCGAGAAACTCGAAAGTCATCGCAACACAACTGTGGATCGAGCATGAGTTTCACGTCCTCTGCTACCTCTGCCACACCGGGGGCTGCACCTGGCGTGGACGCCCAAAGGTCGACCGTGGCTCGAAGAACGGAGAGGGGCTCGATGAAGTCCTTGATGACACCCCAAGCCGTGTCGCAGTCAGCGCAATCGAGCGCCTGCAAAGTCTCCAGCAGTCCTTTATGATAAGTAGCAGGGTCAATCACAGCATGACCCCCAGACATCACTCCTGGGACTCGAAGAGGGAGGGCCAGGGCATGCATAGCCGGAAGGGACGCAGAGTCTGGCCGAAAGGAGCCCCATGCTTTCCGGCAGGGGGCGCTGCTGAGGAGGTGCCGGCGGAGCCGGGCCGGCTTTGCAAAGCACTTGCCGCATCCCAGGCACAGCCTGTCGTGGGTGCCGGCCATCTGGGAGGTGACGAGTCGGTAGCCATGCTTCTTAAAGAAAGAAAAGTATTACCGGACCAGGGCTTCGAGGCTTTCAAGAATAGATCGGAAATTCCACTGGCAAAGCCCCAAATTTCTTCAGGTCCCTATACCGGAAAGCCCTGCACAAACCTTACATGACCCTTCAAGGACCCCTAAACCTAGAACCCTAAACCTTAAATCCAAAAACCCTGTAAACCCTATACCCTAAGCCCCTATATCTTAACCCCCTAAGCCCCCATAAACCCTACGCAGTTCTACAACTTAAAGGATCATGGGACTTAGCAATTGGGCTTATAAGTAAGGTAACTACAGCTATGATTTCTTATAACTCTAATTAAGGTACTTATAACCCTACTTACTAAGTCCCATGATCCTCCGAGTCCTTCATCTGCTCTTTAGGGTTTCATGTAGGAACCTGATTAAGAAAAAACCCTAAACCCTAGACCCTAAACCCTAAACCCTAGACCCTAAACCGTAAAGCCTAAACCCTAAACCCTAGACCCTGAACCCTAAACCCTAGACCCTAAACCCTAAACCCTAAAGCCTAAACCCTAGACCCTAAACCCTGAACCCTAAATCCTGACCTGCCTCATGGATCTGGTGCTTCGCATTCTCCCCGTACGCGCGACGCTCGCACTGGGGAGATTCAAAGAGACGCCTCGACGTGGAAGCCACTTCCTCAGGGTTTCTGAAGGGCTGAAGGCTAGTAGGGTCTACAAGGTTAGGGTATGTGAGGTAAGTTTAAGGCTTATAGGGTTTAGGGTGAATGTGGAAGCCACTTCCTCAGATTCAGGGCTCGGCTTAGGGTAGTTCAGGGCGTTTGTGTTTTCACTGTTGTTCAAACGGCTCATGTCACTCTTTCCTCGCTTGGTCTTGAGGTCTACGGCTCAACAGGTCTTGAATAAGACTTACGATTGCTTCAGTTGCTTGACTGTCACCAGGCTACAGAAAGACTTAGTGCCCAATGGGGTAAGGGCCCCAAAATGTCGCTTCCGCCTCTCTAGAGGTGCAGCCGAGCTTCCTGTGCGCTCTTATTGTCGTCGACAGGATCATCGCCTCGGCTGGCCCCGATAATCTTCGGAGCATTTTTAAAACCTAAACCCCAAATGGGCATCCTCCACCTAGCTACCCTAAACTGTGAAACCCTAAACCCCAAGCCCCAAACCTTGAACTCTCAAACCTCCAAACTTCTCAGAAACCCCTTAACGCAACCATTGTACCCGTACAGATCGTGTAGTACCCTTACAGTACCCTTCTAGAAACCCTTAAAGGGACCCTTATTATAGCACCCTTACAGTACCCTTCTAGAAACCCTGAAAGGGACCCTTATAGTACCTTTACAGTACCCTCCTAGAACCCTTAAAGGGACCTAGGTACCCATGTCGTCAAGCAAAAGCGGAGAGCTGTCAGAAGCAGCAGGCTTACGGCTGGCTCCTCTCGGCGATTCTGGCAGCGGTGCCTGAAGGGTTGCGTAGGGTTTCGATGCTTCCGTAGGGTTTTGTATGATTTCTATAAGGGTTATACGGCTGTACATGCTACGACTGCTGCTACTGCTCCCAAACCACATATCCCCACTGCGGAAATAAACTCAAGCGGCAACACCTCAGAGCCAGCAGACCTTGAGACGGCCGAAAACTTCAAACCCTCCATCCCCACTTAACCCCGACACGACATCGGTAATCACAAATCTGAACGCTGATGCATCGCGACCTTGGCAGCCTTTGCGCCAAGATGGGGCGACAGGGTGCTTCCTGATTCGTGGAGCGACTGGCCTGGCATTTGTCGTTGGTGCTCGAGGGTGAAGACAAACAGTTGAGGATTTTGGGTGAAACATTGTAACGTTTCGGGTCTGAGCCAAGGGTTCTTCCAAGCTTTCGGATGCCTGTATTTGCGACTTTCGGACTCACTGATATCGTGTAAGTTTCATGTTGGGCATGGTTCTTTAAACTCAGACTAGGCAAACAAGGCATACCTCTGTCCCCAAGAATGCGACGTGCTCGCATCAAGCAAAACCCTTGACAATAGATGAATCGGGATGAACGACAAAACCCTAAACCCTAAACCCCTAAACCCTAAACCCTAACTTGAACATACATGGCAGGCTTGTTTCAGGCCCGTGCACCTTAAGTTAAAACACAACCTAAACCCTGATCCCCCTCCCTCAAGAACGACATGGGAGACCCCATCGTTGCTAAGCAGCCACCATTTGAGGTTGGGAGTCCGGCCTCTGGTGTAAAAAGGGCCTTTGCCTAGAGGCTCCAGAAAAAGGTTCCATTATGGAACTAAGATGTTCTTTCGGGGCCTAATTCCATAATGGTACTAGACATGGAGCCTCTGGGTTAAGAATCTAATAGGCTTGGGGGGGCCGGCATATAGCATATTTATAGCGAGGAACCCCGACGAAGAATCTAGGCATCGATTCAGCCCTTCAGTTGGGTCTTCGAGTGTTAGAGGTTGGATACTGCCCCCATACACTAACAGTCTATAATAAGGCTACTATTATACTATTAAAGGCCTAATATATCAATGTTATGGATATTGTCCAACTGTCACTGAGAGTGGGCAGTATCCAAGTTAGAGGTTCTGCCGGGATGTTGGGTTGAGGGACACCCCGTCACGCTTTGTAAAAGAAAAAAAACAAACGCCAACGCCTGCACCGGGGTTACCCCAACACGTGAACATAGCCCTAAACCCTAAAATCTCACAACCTGAAGAATGAATCCCTAAACCCCTAAACCCCTAATTAAACCCCTAAACCCAAAACCTTCAAACCCAAACCCCTAAAGCCCAAAACCCCTAAACCCCTAAACGATAAACCCCAAAACCTTCAAACCCAAACCCCTAAAACCCAAAACCCCTAAACGATAAACCCCAAAACCTTCAAACCCGAACCCCTAAAACCAAAAACCCCTAAACCCCTAAACGATAAACCCCAAAACCTTCAAACCCAAACCCCTAAAACCCAAAACCCCTAAACCCTAAACGATAAAACCCAAAACCTTCAAACCCAAAACCCAAAACCCCTAAACCCAGACCCCCTAAACCCCCTAAACGATAAAACTCAAAACCCCTAAACCTCAAACCCTAAACCCCAAACCCCTAAACCCCTAAACCCTAAACCCCAAACCCCCTAAACGATAAAACCCAAAACCTTCAAACCCAAACCCCTAAACCCCTAAACCCAGACCTCCTAAACCCAAACACCCTAAACCCAAAAACCCTAAAACCAAAAAAACCCTAAAACCCAAAAACCCTAAAACCCAAAAACCCTAAAACCCTAAAACCCAAAAACCCAAAAACCCCAAAAAACCCTAAAATCCAAAGCCTGCGGCTGCGCGCTCTCGGGGCAACCCTCGCCTCGAAGCCTCGTGAGGCTCGGGGGCCGAGTATTTTTGAGGCTTAGGGTTTTAGGGTCTAGGGGTTTAGGGTTTAGGGGCTTAGGGGGTTTAGGGTTTAGGGTTTAGGGTTTAGGGTTTTAGGGTTTAGGGCTCTAGGGCTCCTTATTATGGTTTCTATATATAGTACCCTTAAAAGGTAGCTTAGGGTTTTAGGGTTTACTTGTAGCCGAGAAGACCTACCTTTGTCGGGTTCCTTATTATGGTTGGTTTAGGGGTTTAGGGTTCAGGGGTTTAGGGTTTTAGGGTTTAGGGGTTACCTATTCTGTCATGGCTGCCTTCAAGGGCTCTATGTTGTTGAAAAAGTTCTAAATTGAGGGTCCTATCGTGGGTACTCTGGGTTCTACCTATAGTCTCCATGGTAGTTCCTTTTTTTGGTTTACCAAAATCTCTATTATAGGGTCCTAACCATAAAACTGGTTAACCACAAAAACGACCTACAATGGAGACCATAGGTAAGGCTGTATGTTCAGGTTTAGGGTTTAGGGCCTTAAGGTTTGCATAGGATCTTAGGGTAAGGGTTTTAAGGCTTAGGGGTTTAGGATTTCAGGCTTATAGGGATTAGGATTTTAGAGTTCAACTGTTTAATTAGCGTTTTAGAGTTTACGGCTTTAGGCTGGAGGCATTAGATATTTCAGGGTCCCCAGAATCAACCCTGTCTTGCATGCCGAAACCCGCTAGACCCCCAAACCCCACAACCCCAAAGCCCGATACCTAAAATCGTCAAAACTAAACCCTCAAACCCCTAAACCCCTGAACCCCTAAACCCCAAACCCGAAACCCCCAACCCCCTGAACCCCAAACCCCCAACCCCAAAACCCCGAAACCCTAAACCCTAACCCCTAAACCCCTGAACCCTTGAACCCTAACCCCCAAACCCCTAACCCCTAACCTCTAAACCCCTGAACCCCTAAACCCTAACCCCCAAACCCTAAACCCCTAACCCCTAAACCCCTGAACCCCTAAACCCTAAACCCTAACCCCCAAACCCTAAACCCCTGACCCCTAAACCCCTGAACCCCTAAACCCTAACCCCCAAACCCTAAACCCCTAACCCCCTGAACCCTAAACCCCTAACCCCTAAACCCTAAACCCCTAAACCCTAAACCCTAAACACAGACCCCTAAACCCTAGACCCTAAACCCCTGAACCCCAAACCCTAGACCCTAAACCCAAACCCCCAAACCCTAGACCCTAAACCCCTGAACCCTAAACCCCTAAACCCCTAAACCCAGACCCCGAAACCCTCAGTTTCAAAGGACGTATGCCTCTAGGTCAAAGAACTACAATTCCGACAAGATCTCAAACCTTGAGCAGGGCCCCTGAAGCTCTCTAAACCCCGAAACGGTTTAGGGCTCTAGAGTTTAGGGCTTAGGGTTTGGGTTTAGGGTAAGCCCTAAACCCTGAATTCCTAAAACCCTTAAGGTTTAGGACACAGAGCTGCCTTCTCCGCTGCATGGCTGTAGGCGGCGATGCGCATTCCCAGTTCTTCGGAGATGAGGCTGGAACGAACCTGCACACGAAGCTTTTGAGCTTTTTGTAAGTTAATTGCTCGGCTTGTGTCTTGGGGGGGCTTCATGACGT